TGTTGTTGTTGTTGCTGTTGTTGTTGTTGTTGTTGTTGTTTGTGATAATATATCGATGAATTATGCATCCTATCAATTAATTCAGTAATTTCTTGCCCATTAATAATTGGATGACGTATTGGGTAATTATTTATTGAGGTACTAATATTATTAATCTTATTATATGATTGTTTCCATGGTAATGATTGCGCAAAAGGATGATTAATCTTATCCTGTTGTTGTTGTTGTTGTTGTTGTTGTTGGACAGTTAAATGTGACCAATATATACAAATGATTGCAATTATCAATGAAGTCATAATAATCCTGAAAATGATAATAATGAATAAAATTAAGAATTCAATTTCAGTATGACTGATAACTTTTCATTCAATACGAATTTATGTTTTAAATTTTTAAATGAAAAATTAAAACAGACGAAGAAAAGAAGGAAAATAAAATGAAATTTATTTAGTTTTGTCTTACTATTAAGTAACAATTGGAAATGTGTTAAAAGGTATGTTTAATTTTCTTTCAGTAATTTATATTTAATAATTTCCAATAAATCTGACAATACATCGATTTGTGCTTTTTCTAATTTATGTTTTCAATTGATTTCAAAATTTATTGCTGCAAAACAAAAAAATGATTGTAATCAACTTCCAAAGCAAATTATACTTTTAATTAACATTTAATTAAATATAGCAAGAACGGAAGTAAATTTATGATATCAGTTTTGATGCAATTTAAATTAATTATTAAGAAAAAATTGAAAGAGAGAGAGGAAGAGAAAAAAAAATTAAATGTTATCAAATAATTTGATCATTACAAAGAAACGAACAAACAAAAGGATGAATGAATTGATATGATAAGTGAATGATATGAAATTGTCGGTTAGTTTTACTTGAAATGGAATTGAAATTCGGTCATTTAATGAAAGAAACCGTTTTGGTGAAATTTTATTTGATATAGACAATGCAAGCAATTGATTGAAGAAATAAATGATTGAAAGAGAAATTTGTGACCGAAATCAGGAATTCGCTTAATTATACTTTTGGCTGTTAATTATTTATCCTAAAATTAATTTATAAAAATATTTTTCTAACTATTTTTTCTTTTATCGTATGAATTATCAAGAATTTATAAAATAGTTGATATTGAAATAAACAAAATTTATTATCCGTCTATTGACAATTTTAGCAATTGGCTACATAATGGAACCACAAATAGTTGCATATGTTTAATACATATGACACGTGATCATGTGATTATACGTAACAACTCTTATCAAATAATCGAACAATTTTAATGATATTAATTAAACGATTGATATTATCATCCAGGAAATGAGATGGTCTAATTCTAATTAACAACAAAATTAACAACAACAAGGAAACATATGGTCTAATTAACAACAAGGAAACATATGTTATGTTTAATTTATTGCTATTATCGGTACTTAATAAATTTATTAATTTAATTAGAATCATTGCTAATTTTCTGTCCCAATATTTTATCATTTATTGAGTGCAAAAGTTGTAATATTGGAGTATGAAAACGAAAAAAGAAAACATTCCAGATGAAAAAGGGTGCCAAAGGATAAATCATGCAATCTTGAAATATTAATAACTTAATTATGAAATATTAATTAATCAAAATGATTGAACCGATAAAATTTCAAAATTTTTTTCCAATGGATATCTTTTAGGAAATCCCAAAATTCATGATAGGATTGAATTTTAATCACAGGACCTTAGATGAATGAATATACTAAAATACGAAATATGTATTGATTTATCTGTTAGGCGCATTCGACTTTCATAATGACAATAATGAAAATGCATGGATTGAATCGTTTTGAAATTGATATCTCTAAAATTGAATTTTATATGGATTTCCCTGGAAATTAATAATTTTCACTGCAACAACCTGTTATCTATAAAAATAATATAACAATGGAAGCAAAAAGCAATTATGAACATTATTCATGAGTATTTTGCTATTATTTACTATTTATTATTATTATTATTGTTACCATTATTACTATTGTTATTATCATCATCATTATTATTATTATTATTACTATTATTATTATTATTATTATTATTATTATTTACTATTACTGTCACTATTACTATTACTATTATTTTATTATTATTATTATTATTATTATTATTATTATTATTATTATTATTATTATTATTATTATTATTATTATTATTATTATTATTATTATTATTATTATTATTATTATTATTATTATTATTATTATTATTATTATTATTATTATTATTATTATTATTATTATT